CCTAAACACCTCTTACTGGTGACTGTCATCCAGGAGGCTTAGATGCAGTGATAACTGCGTACATGTGACCGTTCTTGGTTTCTGCCAGCCTTGTATGTACTTATCTGCGGATAATTCATGCCCACACTTTGAAAAGCAACTAGCAGAAGCTATTGAAAATAGTAATAATATCTTTCTTCAAGAAAATTAGGAGCAGGAGCCCTGCCAGAGAGTTTGTAGGTCCTGTAGAGGACTGCAGTATAAAAAAGAGACCTCGGGGGAGATAAGACCATATCCAATTGAATTCTTTGCCTGCATGTGCAGAAATCAGGTAGGTTCTCATGCTGGGATGCTGCTCTGTGAGGGACTTGGCAGAGGCTGTGTCTGTCAAAGAAGCACTGGAAGAAATAGGTGAGGGGAAGTGGAGACAGTCTCTGGGATCAGATATTTACCCAGAGTCCTAAGGGGGCTGCAGGAGAACACAGCTGAGCTGTGGAACAGAGTTGCTCTCCCAACTGCCTTCTCTTGGGTCAAGAGAAGGGGAGGATGGTGTGTATGGTGCCATGTTTCGTGAAGGGGTTCAGAAGAGAGTCAGGCAGCGATGGGCTGAGAGAACCCTGATGTCTGGGTTGGACAAATCCATAGAAGCACTACTGAAGGGTAGATGCATTGGGCACGTGGAGAAATAGGACATGGGTTTTGCAAAGAGGACCCACCAGACACCTGGATGGAGTTATTGGGCTGCTGTCTTTGTCTTGGAAGTCCAAAAGGCTTTTGAGAAGTTCCTTTGCTGCAAACTAAAGGGACACTATGTCTCCATGTGGATTATGAGTCATTTGTAAGAGAGACAAGAGATGGAATGAGTGGGTAAGGGATTGTCGGTTGGGAGGAGGAGGCTGTAGAGAGGCTTGGACGTGTGCGGGTGGTGTCTGTGGTGTTGAGGGTGTTCCGAAATGGCTGGGAAGAAGGGACCCTCCAGGAAGGAACAAGGTCTTTGGGTTATGATGAATCATTGCACCGATTGTGAGGGGTAAGGCAGGAGTGTGAAAAAAAAAAAGTCTTGAATAGCCTGCAGAAGGCGCTGAAGAGACAATTGTTCATTGTTTTCTCTACTGCAAGAATTATTAAAGGGCATTAAGTGAAGTTAACTAGATGGCACGTTTAGAAAAAATAAAGGAGGGGGTTTTCCACACTCTCTGCCATAAGATACCATGAAACGGATTCAAAAAGTGACTGGAGACCTTATTAGAAAGAAAAATATCCTTCAGAGCTACGATGCGACGAGATACCACCACTAGAACAGAAAGTATCTGACAAATTATTGGAAGCTGGAAGGGTTATGGGGAAAATTATCGTTTAATCTGTGCCTTATTCCTTTTTTGCCAGTTGGGAGGTACAAGTGCTGGGCTAACAGGATGTTTGGTCCGACTCAGCGTGGATGTGCTCAGAGACTTAAAACTTTGTTAAGTTGTTGACTTGAACTTTCATTTTCATTCTAATGTACCGGATTGCTGACTTTATGGGTCATTTCAGTCTCTGCAACGCTTCTTGTGGAAAGACAGGATCTGCTTTTGGAAAGCTTGCTTAGCAGCCAGAGAGAATGAAGAGGTTCATTGATACTTAACATGGAAATACTTAGGTTTTAGTGCTTAAAAGGCAACTTACTCAGAAAAAAAGTGTATGCCCTGCATCTTTGGACATAAAAGCACCTGAGAGGACTGGTCTGTCAAGCTTAGTTTTATGAATATGTTAAGGCCACAGGCTCCTGCAGCACAAGAGAGGTTTTTTCTTTTCCCTGATAAAACTGATCATTTTTGCCATCCCGTTGTTTAACTGAATATTTAGCCATGTTGGACCTTTCCTTTTATCACATGGTAACACAGTTTCTTTGAGAGGCTTTCCTGAAAGACTCCGTGAAATATCTTTGGACAGCCAAGTGGACTGCCAAAGTATCTCTTCTCTCTGCTTCCAGTCTCCTCCAAAAATGTCCCCAAATCAGAGAGCCCTGACTTCCCTTTACAAAGCTGTTGATTCTTCTGCAATAGAACCCACGTATCCCTTTGTTTGTTCCTTCTGTTCTCCAGAATTGTTTCCTCTGATGTGCATGGTGGAGGTGTCAGGGTCACCGATCTGGACTTCTTCATACCTCATTTGGACTTCTTTTTGAGAATCAGCATTATCTTTCCCATCTTCCTCCTCTCCGTAGGCAGGCTTAAGTCAGAGCTCATCCTCATGTTTAGTGGTAGGGCTGGTTTAGGTTGGAGCTCCTTTGGAGCTCTTGGGATGATGTTACCTTGTCCTGTGGCTTTGGTAGGTTTCGTAGTATCTTATTCATGTTCCTCAGGGTCGGTTCTGGGACCGGTGATGTTTAACATCTTTGTCAGTGACACGG